CTGAGGCATTAACTTTATCAAACCCCAAATGATTCTTGCCAGCTTCAATAAGATCGACTCTTAATAACTTTTTTCAATTAAAGTGAAAAAAAAATGTCTTTTCTTTTTCAGACCACCCACCAAAAAATACCAGCAATGACCCAAAAATAAATCAAACTCTTCATATCACACACACATAGAGCTTATTTTAGTGCCTTCAAACTTGAGCTTATTCGCTTAATGTTTGTTACTCTGGTGTTTTATACAAATAAACTTGAATAAAACATGGGTAAATTTTTTTACCTATGACCAACGTCCAGACCATGAGACCACACTCAAAATACTGTGTGAATCAGTCGTACTACAAAGTTTAACGAGCCTATTCTAAGAAAAACCTCATTAATCCGACACAAGGATACAATAATATTTGTACTCAATAACTTTTTTTTATACAAAAATCCCAGAATATTATTTTTACAACACAAATAAAAGCTAGATAAATATGATAAAGTATAGTTAAATAAAATATTTGAAATCTTGTAATGAATACACAATCTAATAAGACAGACTCGTGAAAAAAAACCGACCATTCCAAACTGAACAAAGCTTCAGAAGAGCATAAAAGTAAGAAAATTAGTCTCTGAACTATACAGCCATCCTTTTTACTGAACTAATTAACAAGTGTATGCAAGCAAAAAGTGTAACATTAAGAAGAACACCAGTTTGTTACAGAAATAACTTACTCCATATATTGCCACATGATCCAATAAACCTAGAGAGAAAAATAAATTAAGCAGACATTTATCCTCGGAGAGGCTGATACTGGTAAATTCATGTGATCCAAGGAAACATGAACTGAAATTAAAAACTTAAGGTACATTACTTATGGCAGGGAAATGAGGATATAGAAAGAAGTTATATATCAGCAAACACATAACTGTTTATATATATTTATTAAAAACACAAAACTTTAAGTTCTTGGCCTATAAATATATAAACCAAAAGGCCACAGGCACTAGCTAGTAAAACTACGTATGCACTTCTCAAGAGTATTACTTATACTTCAATCACTTAACAGCAAGCTTTTAAGATGTACACAGATCTACATGACGAAAAGAAAAAAAAAAAGCTGGAACCAAATAACCTGCTAAAAGATGATTTTCATTCTTTGATAGATTGTTTGGGCAGAGTATTCATGATGAGTATACAGAATGGACAAAAACTGCCCCTTTGAGAGGACGCCATTTTGAAAGTCTTTCGTTTCAAGAAGGAAGACTTTCGGAACTACGTATCCCACATTTGTATTCTCTCTACAACAGACAGTTGTCACCTGTTACAGCGTACTCATCATGATTTTCATCTTCTGAACATTAGGACCAAACTATAAGATATTCAAGTACTTTTTTAAATACTTGTGTTATTATATTCTGTTTATTCTGGGAATAAATCACGATAAATGACACGGTAGTATGGATTATTCTGTATCACTGATGATTCTATCTCAGTCACTGGTTAAATTGGGATTCTGAAAGAGGTCGAACTCCCTTTTGTAATCTGTTCCAGATATTTCAAACAGGAATGGTAATGGCAATCCGTTCCAAATATTTCAACCAAAAGACCCTAATGGTTTGAATCCTTGAGAGGTCAAACTCCATTACAGACCTTTCCAGTTTAATCTCCAATTTTAGTGTACGAAACCTAAAATTCACACTTGATAATCATTATGGTTGGAGAGGAAGGGAAATATTCCAAATAAAACTCCTGCAAGGCTTAATAAAAGGTGTCTTTTCACACTGGAAGTCCAAGTCCTTCAGTTTGTCCTTTATTAGAAATAACTTCAAATATCCTGGAATATTCCATGAGTAGCACCTTACATAACACGTGGGCTAACCATCTACGTCAGAGATCCCCCAAGGGTCAGGGAAAGCCATCACTAATATAGTCCTAACCAGAAGAAGGGGAACCATATACGCAACTTCTCTTAACTGAACAGCTGAATTATAATATAACCCACAACTAAAATTGTAGGAAAAGTTCAACTAACACCACTCCTTAAACCTCAAACGTTCCATTCCACATTCAACCCAACTTCAAATAATACAAGTCTTGAATTGGTTAATTAATTGTCATACAAACACTAACTGAAGTTTAACAAGGTATAGCTTTTTAGTTAAACATTAATTCAGTTCACAATTTAACCCTCTACTGCCTGTAAGGAACAAACATTAATTCACTTCACAACTTAACCCTCTACCACCTGTAAGGAACAAACATTGATTCACTTCACAATTTAACCCTTTACCACCTGTAAGGAACAAACATTAATTCACTTCACAACTTAACCATGTACTGCAGGCTGCACCTGGCCCACGAAGAGTTCTTAAAGTTTATTATACTTTATATTTTAAGAACTCATCGCAAGCCAGATAAAACCACCTCGCGGGCCGTACGTTGGACAAGACTGTTCTACCGTCTGTAAGGGAATAAACTGATGTTTTTTACTAAACATATTTAAGATACTATGCTGTTTTTCTATGGAAATTTCATTCTTAAAGAAATCTGAATTTTTCATCATTAGATTTCACCATCTTATGCTAGGTTATTGTTTTTAAGAATGATACTCTCCACGTCAGTCACACGAAGGTAAGAACGTACGATTTCTCAAAATATTTACCTTGATTTTTCTGTTTTATAGAAAGTTTTCAATTAATAATGTTAAACAAAGTCTAGAGAATCAGACGAACGTGAAACATCAATTTTAAACTTCAATTCATGACCGAAACCATGTTCAATGCACGTAAACTACAACGGTTTATTCCAGGTAAGTATAAACGTGACCACATACGAGATACGAGAAAAGTGTACGTGCAGCAAAGAAAATGTAGTATTTTGGAATAAAAATAAGACACCGTGCTTCTGTATCACAAAATAAATAAATACGTTTGAAGTTCAGCACAAAGCTAAACGATGGGCTATCTGTGCTCTGCCCACCAAGGGTATCAAAACCCGGTTTCTAGCGTTGCAAGTCCGCAGACATACCGCTGTGCCACTGGGGGGCAATAAATATGTTACAGTGTATTATTGTTTTAGGGAACTTAACAGAATGGATAAAGAACTTAGGTTGTTCCCAAGTCTGATGTTAGTGAAGACAAGTTCAGACGGCGCGAATACAACCCAGGTGACAAAAGAAACAAATAAAATGATCTTGAAAGTTAACCAGGAAAGAACTCATCCAGTCAATATACAATTTCAAGAGAAACCACAACAAAATCCAATGACTTAGTTCTCGCCATAGATGGCATTTAAAAAAAAAATAATTAGGATGAAAACTTTTTGCAATATGTGTACTTGGTGATTCTATCCGTTCTTATATAAAGACTGTAGCCTGATTTCCTTGTTCACCAAGTCTTGTTTTTATCAGTTTTACAGTATTTTGATAATATGATTTTAACTATTCCTGAAAGGAACATATATATGTTGTTTTGTTCTTTTTCTTTATGAAATGATGGTTTAAAAAAATAAGCAAATTTTTTTCCCTGCTATTTTAAGGCCTAAATAGGCTAGAAAGATAAGTGTTAGTGGATCCAACACACCATCCAGGGGGTAAATTGTTAAGTTTTCAGAGAAAAAAAGGTTACTAAACCAGATATTTTAGGTTTTATTTTATGCCCACGTTAATAGTATTCAGTTACTCTCGAGCTCCTGTTCAAAATGTATGTCTAAAAATGTACTTGGCTAACATAACCTACAAATACCAGTACATACTAAAAGGTGGATTTATTCACAGACGTATTGTGAAAAACATTACAGATAGTGTAGATAGAGATGTAACAAATATATGGTCTGGAATCCAGTCACACTGTATTCAAGTACATGCGACACTGTTTAGAAAATAACTACATCATTGAGTGAACCCTTGTAGCTACAAGTACCATAGTCTTCTGTTAAAATGACAACAGGCTAGTGTTACCAAAATAACTCGGCTTAAAGGTTTTATCTTTCACTGCGCCAAAAAACATTAATTTTGTTTTTGACTCTTGATATAGTAGAACATAAAAAATGCCTGAAGAGAAATTAAACGAAACGGTCGTCTTTTAGAGCTTATAATTACAGAAAGGTTGAAGAGAAATTAAAAGAAACGGTCGTCTTTTAGAGCTAATAATTACAGAAAGGTTGAAGAGAAATTAAACGAAACGGTCGTCTTTTAGAGCTTATAATTACAGAAAGGTTGAAGAGAAATTAAACGAAACGGTCGTCTTTTAGTGCTTATAATTACAGAAAGGTTAAGGAGAAATTAAACGAAACGGT